TCGAACGGAAGCTTTTCGAATGGAAACTTGTTCGATTTTAAATATATATATTTATAAAATAATTAATTGTATATATATATATAATAGGGCTAATACCGAAAAATGTCGCCGACGCGCTCAAAGCTCGCTCTCGTGAAGTCGCGCAAGACCCGAGGGCCACGCGAGTCTCGCCCCGAGTCTCATGGCCAGCATTGACATCTTTACGAAAGAGTGTAGTCTTACAACAGCCAATGTCTCGTGCCGCGGTCTTGTACGGCTGTGCGTGTGTGTGTGTGTGGCGGGCGACATCGCCAGGATTCAGAGCGCTTCCATCGTGAGATCTCTAATCACCGGGAGGTCACACGTGCTGTCAGGTGTTTGTCGCGGTAACCGGTTAATTGAGATATTGTCTCGTGTCGTAAAAAAAAAAGCAACCCCCACAACCGCCGTCTGCTCGTTACCACCGCCACCACTTTTTAGTCCCTCCCCCCATCCTTGGATTTCCTTGTGTAACATTTTCATGTATTAGCTCCATCACGTGACCGCTAAAGCCTATTCTGACATTTCGAATCACGTGACGCACGTCTCGTGCACAAACACCGTAGTTACAAAACAACCATTTGGGAAAAAAAATAGCCATCGCGCTTTCGAACATTCGCAACGCATCATACGTAACGTAACTATTTTAGTGCGTGCTTATTTAAATATCTATTTTCTCGAACGTGCAAAATAAGGTGACCCTATTTCTCTTCTCTAGCACTTTAGCACCCGTAGTCAGCTTATGATTGGTTTTTTTTTAAATAATACTTTTTGTACGCCTTCTTGTGCGAATCTAGAAATTTGGGTTAAATTTTTTCTAATAAATTACCGTTATTTAAAATAACAGCATTATAACCGCGCAAAATAACAAGGATCCTAGGTATTTGAATTGATTTACTTTTTCAAAAGTTTGGTTTCTAATTTTAATTGTTTCATCTGTTTGTTCCTCTCTTATCATGGTCATGTATTTTTTTTTTTTTTTTTTTTTTTTTTTTTTCTTTCTCGTTCTTTTTTTTTTGTTTTTTTTTTTTTTTTTTATGTTTTTTTTGTTTTTTTTTTTTTTTTTTTTTTTTTTTTCTTTTTTATTATTTTTTTTTTTTTTTTTTTTTTTTTTTTTGGTTGTTAACTTCCAGCCCTGCTTGTAATGATGCGTCTTCTAATTCAATAAAGGATTTTCATATGTCTTTAATACTTTTCCCTAGCAGTGCTATGTCATCAGTGTATGCAAGATACTGAAGTGGTTGGTTGTTGAGTGTGCCCGTTGGTTGTGGGTCTTGAGTTTCCCTCAGAAAGTATCCTGTTATCGTTCCTCGAGTGTCAATGTGTATGTTTCTTATAACTCTCTCTAATGTTAGGTTAAAGAGCATACAAGACAGTGATTCTCCCTGTCTTAGGCCTCGTCTAATATTAAATTCCCTTGAATATTCTCCTTGAATCTTGATTTTGCTTTTTGAGTTGTTTAGTGTTGCATGTATTAGCCTTGTCAGTTTGTTGTGTATCCCAAACTCCTGCAGAGTCTCATATAAATAATTTCTTTTGATGCTGTCATAGGCCATTTTATAGTCTACATAGAGTTGATGTACTGGTATATTAAATTCATATCATTTCTCTAATAGGCATCTGATGGTGAAAATCTGATCAGTCGTTGATCTGTTAGGCCTGAATCCACATTGGTAATCACCTAGCATTTCTTCAGTGTAAGGTTGTAGTCTTTTGGCAATAAGCTTCGTCACTATTTTGTATGTAACATTTAATAGGGAGATTCCTCTGTAGTTTGTGCACTGAAGTTTGGAGCCTTTATTGTGTATTGGGGTTATTAATGCTGTTTCCAATTCTGGTGGGATTTTCTCTTCTTGCCAAATTTTAGTTATTTGTTTATAAGTATCTGAGTGTGTAGTTCTTTTCCTCCATATTTAATCAGTTCTGCTGTGATGAGGTCTTGTCCGGGGGCTTTGTGATTTTTCATGTAATTCATTACCTCTTTGGTTTCTTCTAGGGTTGGGCATTGTATAAAAGGGTCTGGTTCTCCCTGTGGGAGTTGATACTCTTCTTCTTGTCTATTGTCTGCATTTAGTATGTCCTCAAAATATTCAGCCCACCTCTCCAGTACTTTACTATTTTTCGTGATTAATTCTCCATTGTGGCTCTCACACATTTGCGGTCTGGCTTGGTATCCATTCTTTTCATCTTTTATCTTCATGTACATTCCTCTTATATTTCCCTCTCTTGATAAATCTTCTATTTCCTTTAGTTTATCCTTTTTCAATTCCCCCTTTTTTCTTCCTACACATTTTTGTTGCTTTCCTTCTGGCTTCCTTGTATGTTTGTGCTGTCTTTCTGGTTTCCCTTTGTAACATGATCATTCGTGCTTTGTTTCTTTCTTCCACAGTCTCTCTGCATTCATTGTCAAACCAGCCTACTCTATTGTTGGCTTGCTGAAATCCCACTACTTTTTCTGCTGATCTTTGATGGCATTTTTTATCCTATCCCACTGATCATTTATGTTGTTTTCCCCGTTTACTTCCTCGTGCCATGCTTCTAATTGTGCTTCTACTTCATTCTGGTAAGCTTTTGAAGTTAATGGGTCTTTGGGCAGCTTTTGGTAATCGTATCGTTTCTCTCTTTGATTACGACCATTGTGAGCTAAGCTTATCCTCTGCCTATATTTCACCCTTACAAGTAGATGGTCCGAGTCCGCATCTGCTCCTCTAAGGCTTCTCACATCTAATATATCTGATCCATGTCTTCGATCTATTAAAACATGATCGATTTGATTGCGGGTGATTCCATCTGGTGAGTTCCACGTAGCTTGATGTCTAGTTTTGTGCTGAGACTTGGTGCTGCTAACTGACATCCCTTTTCCTACCGCGAAGTCTATGAGTCGGATCCCATTGTCATTGGATTCTTCGTGCAGACTTTCCTTGCCAATAGCTGGCATGAACACTTTGTCTTTTCCTATTTTGGCATTGAAGTTTCCAATCACTATTTTAATATCATGTCGTGGTGCCTCTTCGTAGATCTTTTCCATAGGATAAAGAATCCTTTTATGAGGCAGATCTTCCGTGTCTTCCGTTGGAGCTGTCATATTTATGAATGTTATATTGAACATTTTTCCTCGCACACGCAAAGAACACAATCTTTCGTTTTCTGGTTTGAAGCCTATGACTGCACTGACCGCTTCTTTTTTCACGGCAAATCCTGTTCCTAGTGTGTTGGTGTTGCTACCACTATAAAATATGGTGTATTCTTTTGTCTTGAGGATGTCTGAATTTTTCCATCGAATTTCTTGCAACGCAGCAATAGATATTTTATATTTGACCAGCTGATTTACAAGGTTGGCTAAGGCTCCTGCTCTAAACAGGCTTAGTACATTCCAAGTCGCAATCCACAAATCATGTCCATATCCATGCATAGGTCGATTTCCATTGGTATCAGTCCGGGTTTTGTTCAGTTGCTTGGCTTTCGTAACATTGGTTTTTTACGTGGCCGGGTTGTTAACCCTGCGCACAACGTCTGGGGGGTTGCCCCTTACAGCTCTCTGGATAGCTGCCTTAGTTTTTGGGTAAGGTTCCCTAGTCTTTGTGGATCCCTCCACTTCCTACAAGGCAGTAGGTTCTGATTTTGGTCCGCCCCAGGTATTTTATTTCCCTGGTACCCTCCATATCTGGTGGGCTTTCCCCTATCCGCCACCTGGGGAGGCGCTCAATGGAAGATCAGTATCTCCGCACGAGGCGCGCACTCCCCTACAGATTTTTAATCTTGGCAGGTCTGCAGTCTTCCTTTTGCTGATATTTATATAAAACAACAGATAGTGACTCTCAGTAACCATAATAATTGGCACGGCCAAATTTATTCTCTTGATCATTATCATTGTTGCATTTTGAAGTTAATATTTTTTATTTAATAACTGCTGTTGATTAAAACTAACTCACTGATACTTTTTTTCTTCTTCTGTTCTTAGTTAAATCAAGAATCTGAGAGCCTTCGTCAAAAAAAGTTTAAGCTGGAAGACACCATCTCTCAACTGGACAAAGATCTGAATATAATGAAACATGATCTGAAAAAGTTTTTAATGGAAATTAAAGTAAGTTGTGCAGTGTTGATATAAAAATCTTTTATATATTATATAGTTGTATCCGTCACATATCTAATATTTGGATATCAATTTTGTTTCGTAAAAATAATGTATTATTTTTGTTAAATGAAATAACAGGAAGTAAGGAATTATGGGTTGGAGAAGAAGTATTAACGGTCAAGGCGGTTGACAAGGATTCATATATATATATTTGGCGCTGGCCATGTTCATTCTAGTTATTGATCAATATCTTAATATTGATTTGTGAAGTGTACCGAAGAAGTTATAAATGCGATACCCATACTTATTGTGATCTTTAGTAACATTATTTTATGTGATGTGCCGTAATCAAGTATTAAATATAAAGTGATGCAAATAGTTATTCATGTCTTATTATTAACTGTTGATGGACGACCGTGATTCAGGACAAGTAATAATACACGTCAATCATTGCAAGTAACGTAATCATGATTAACATATATATGTGGTACGTTACAGTATCTACTCAAATTTATGAAATGTAATTGATGATGTTTTTTTATGCTGGATACTAATATACCTTTTATGGCAGTTCAATCAATGAGTGATACATATTATTCCATGTCAACTAGTTCATTCACATGACCCCAAAAATTAATTCTCTTGCTGTATTTTGGTCAGAATCAGCTCTTCCAATCAATAAAGTTGACACCTTTTTTTAACTGAAAAAAAATCCTGTAATAGGAAGGGATTAAAGATAAAAAAAATTTTACAAATTAAATTTATTGACCAAAAAAAGATTAAAATTAAACAAAATTTGTATAATACCATTCTAACAGGGTCTCAGTGAACAAATCTCAGCGTTGAAGACCCAAGCAAAAGAACAGGAAGTTTTGCTCAAGTCTGTTGTACCAGATCAAGCCAAGTTGAAAGATCTGCAGATTGTAGTGGACAAAAGTCAAAAAGGTGGATACACTTGACTGTTTTCATCATTCTGCTTTTATGGTCTAGTACACAAATACTTGTGACACTGATTAAACACAACCTGTATTGTATCACAAATACTTAGAGAAACTGATTAAACACAACCTGTATTTTGTCACAAATACTGAGTGAAACAATTTGTGACAATAAGTAAGTGCTCTTAACCTATTTCATTTGAAAAACTATATCCACCTAGTCTCAGTCACATGATAAATTGTAGTTTTACGCTTGCTGGATCTGTATGGTTTGTAAGTTGCAAAATTAATTTTTATTTTTCAGAGTATGAGAAAATTGCAAGCACAGCCAAGGTTCTGGAGGAGGAGGTTAAAGAGTGAGTCAGATTTCATGGTGTCAATTGTTACCCCACTGTCTAGTTTAATGCTAATAATCAAATGTTATTTCTTTTCAAAAATAAAATCAAATTGGTGACAATAATTTTTTGTTAGGGAAACGTCTCTCTCATTTCATTCTAAATATCATAAATTTATACAGATATATAATAAGTTTCTTATTTAAGCTCATATAAAACTTTATGTGAAAATTTCAGGCTTCACAATCAAATCCTTGACATTGGTGGAGCTAAACTTGGTGCTGTCCAGACCAGGCTGAAGGCCATCAATAATGACATTGACAAAACTGTTGGTCAGATAACAAAGAACAATGTGGGGGTGAAGACTTCAGAAAGGTAAATGGATTTACATTTAAAATTCTTTATGAAACATGCACCAAGACAATTTTTTGGATATTGCTGTTGGCTAGTTTTGTTTTTTGGCCTACAATGTCTGATCCTCATTGGACACTCCATTCTGATGGAATTTTATTTATGCAGTCCTGGTTAGTTGCATGAGAACTCTGTGTATGTTCAGCTCGTGAATTTGTCTAATTTTGATAAGTATCTCTAATAAAATATTTCTAGTTAACCTAAGAATGCATTGGTGCACAAATGGATGCACATCAATTTAGGTTACCATCCATTGGATTTATAATTCATCCTAAGTATATCTCTCAACAGCAGAGGTGATGTTTTTATTTTTCAACAATTAAAATTATTACCTTAGCAATAGTATATAAGTTTATTTCCAAATCATAATAAAGGTTTATGGGATTTAAAAGAGAAACAAATGTGATATGTAAATATATCAAAATGTGAATTTTCCTTGTCTAGAAACTTGAAACGGTCAGAGGAAAAAATTGCATCACTTCATGAAGAGATTGAGGAGACCAAAGAACTTGTTCTGACCCTGGAACAGAAACTAAAATCTCATGAAGGGGTAGCCACCAACCTGTTGGAGCAGTTTGAGAAATTTCAGGTAAAACAAATCTACGAAAAAATAAGCACAAATAAAAAGAAGTGCTAGAAGCTCTTTAGATATCTGAAATATAATTTTGTTAAAGGTTAAGGAAAATCCCTTATTAATCGATTAAATCCAATGAACCTTGTAGATTTGTTAGTTATGAAGTACATGTTTACCATATTTGATATCTCTTATATATATTTTGCTTCTGGTATGTCCTGCTGCCTTTTCACCCCTGACCCTCCCCCCACTCAACATGTCTTATATCACTTAGTACAAAGCACAAAGAAAAAAAAAAAAAAAAAAAAAGCTGTGACGCAGCGAGCGTCATGTGGGACGATTGAACTTGGGTTTAAAAAAATTAAATTTTTTTGTTAAGTGGGAGACAAATATATTAATCAATAAAGAGCCACGGGTATGATGTAGGACTGTCTGTTGGCCTATTGTTTTAAGCCAGCAGGTAGTGTGTAGGACTGTCTGTAGGTCTATTGTTTAAAGCCGGCAGGTAGTGTATAAGACCGTCTGTGGGCCTATTGTTAAAAGCCAGCAGGTAGTGTGTAGGACTGTCTGTAGGTCTATTGTTTAAAGCCGGCAGGTAGTGTATAAGACTGTTGGCCTATTGATTAAAGGCCGGCATATATTGTAGATAATCAGAGATTAACACTTTTTAAAAATGCTTTATATTTACTTCACTTTTGTTTGTGGCTGGTTGACAAGATCTTCTGACGACTAATTAACCCACTTCCGCCATCTGCTAGAGCTGAAACTTGGCACAAAGACTCGTTACGGATTACACATTCTCTCAAATTTTGAGCCCTACCCTAGATTTTCCTGTTTTTCACGGGGGAGATGAAGGAAATATGATTTCATGAAAAAAATCCCTGATAACTATGCTAAATTAGATTATTTAAAGAGAAAAAAATCGCAAGTGTGTTTTCTAAAAGGGTTGGTGAAATATTTCTATGATGTAAAAGTGGTTGGGTAATTAGAATATTAATATAGTTCAGGGGTGTGAAAAAATGTGCAGTTACGAGTATTGAGGGGTTAGCACTCACTGGGATACTTAAGAAAGTGAGTTACTGATATGATGGTTTTGTCAAATCTTCAAGCCCCCCCCCCCCATTACATTTTATAAAGATTTTATACGGAATAATTTGTTTTTGGGGGTTGTTTGTTTTGTAACACTTGGACCCACGGGGTATTTTCTCAACCTGGTGTAAAAAAATTACGCCCTAATATTTCTATTTTTTAGAGTATTGAGGGGTTAGCACTCACTGGGAAACTTAAGAAAGGGAGTTACTGATATGATGGTTTTGTCAAATCTTCAAGCCCCCCCCCCCCATTACATTTTATAAAGATTTTATACGGAATAATTTGTTTTTGGGGGTTGTTTGATTTGTAACACTTGGACCCACGGGGTATTTTCTCAAACTGGTGTAAAAAAATTACGCCCTAATATTTCTATTTTTTAACATTTGTTTGGTAAAGGTAATGTCCACATTGTTAGTCTTGGTATGTGGTAAACCAGTCATGAAGAAATGTTCTTTTTTCTAGTTGGAGGTCAAACAACACGAAGAAAGACTCCAGGGAATGAAAAAAGTTGTGGAAGATCTGGAACAAGAGGAGACAGATATGGCCAGCGAGGGAATTGAGCTGCAACACCAACTTGACAAGATTGAGACCATCATAAAAGAAAACCGTGCCAAGATAAAAGTCTGGAAAAAGGATGTTAGTGGTTTGATTTTTTTCATTTTTATCGTGGGCTTAATTCGAGGATGACTAGGGGAAGCATTAGGGTTAAAATCAATAACTTTTCTCGGATGGTCCTTTCATCCTCTTAATCTTGATTTTTGTTTATTGTATTTGTCCCTTATTGTGCACAGAGAAAATGGAATATTTGAAAGCAAGTAAAGGTTTGTCCAAAATCTTTTTGTAATCTGGCTTTGGAAACAAAAAATGTAACATCAATTCTGAGCACAGAGTTTCTGAGTTTCAGTTGCTGATAGTTGGCCAAAGTTTCTAAATCCATGCTTCATATGAACACCTTCTACTTCTGCCCATTTAAGATATAATTGTATGCACACAAAAAAGGTCAATTTAGGTCAATCTCATTGAAAATTTCACCCCAGAGAGGGAAAGTTTTCTCTTTTCAATGCACCTACATGAAGGCACATAAATGATGGGTCTTGTCCTCTCATAGCAAACATTTACATTTACAAGAAAATTTTTTATTGCAGCTCAGCGTACTAAAACTGACACCAACCAACAGAGAGGAGGAGCAGACAGAATTAACTTTACCAACGTTCAGTGCAGAAGAGCTCCAGACCCTCAATAAACAGGATCTCAATGTGGGGATAACTCTTCTGGAGGAAAAAATGTCCAAGATGAAGCCCAACATGGCAGCTATTGCAGAATTTAGGAAAAAGGTTTGTTATTATACTTGAAGTAAATCACCTGCTGTAAATAGTTTATGTACTTTTATTGATGGTAGGTAATGCAACCAGATTTTTATTTTAAAATTGTCATGAAATGAAACGGATGATTAAATACTTCCATCCTTACAAATAATAGTAAATTATTTTTAAAGGCAGCTATTGATAAGTCCATGGGTAGTAGCCATCTCAACGCAAGCACACTCCAAAGTCTGAATTAACAAAAGGCTAAATAATTTTCTGTTATATAAATACTTGGGAAGGGGCAGACTGTGTAGTGCTGCCCCTAGCTCTCTATACTCCTACCAGTAACTATTGCACACACTAATTCAATCAAATGACTTAAAATAAACACTATTCTGTCATGTGATTTAACAGTGACTGTATCAAAAAGTCAAATTGTCCATATGGTATTATTGAATTGTACAATAAAACAGCAGCCATCACACTGATAATGTTTCATTCTTGTATTTCAGGAAGAGGTTTATCTTCAAAGGGTTGGTGAACTTGACCAGATCACCAACTTTCGTGATGAGCAGCGCCGTTTACATGACAACTTGCGTAAACAAAGACTTGAGGAGTTCATGGCTGGCTTTGAGGTTTGTTCTTTGATTGGTTTTTTTTTGTGTGTTTTTTTTGTCACTTTACAACTGTTTGTGAAGTACTTCATAAAAGCTCTGTTTCTATACATCACAGACTGAAAGTCAAGTGCTTGAAAAAATTTATCGTTCACAAAAATTATATATACAAATTGTTGTCATTATTAAAAATATAAATCAAAGTAACAAATATACTAGTTTTTTCTGTCAGCTCAGCTCAGTAAAATGCTGTAACCAATGCATCATGTTGTTTTCCTCAGGTCATCACCAACAAACTGAAAGAGATGTATCAGATGATAACATTGGGAGGTGATGCAGAACTAGAGTTAGTTGACTCGTTGGATCCTTTCTCAGAGGGAATAGTGTTCAGGTAGGTCATAGTGTAACTACATAATAAACTACACTGACTGAAATTTACAAGTAAAGGTGCATTTCAAAGTCATTTTATTGGACACTAAATCACAAAATAGTATGAGCTAAGAGAAGATACATACTAAATAGATCATTATGTTTAAATAATATTTACAAGGATTTAATAAGCTGGGTGTTCTGAGTTTGTTGTTAAGTGTGCTTTCAAGGAAACAGGAAAAAATACTTTAACTTGTCAACAGTGTGAGACCACCTAAGAAATCTTGGAAAAACATCTCCAATTTGTCTGGTGGTGAGAAGACATTGTCCTCCCTGGCGCTCGTGTTTGCCCTGCACCACTACAAGCCGACACCACTTTATGTCATGGATGAAATTGATGCCGCCTTGGACTTCAAAAATGTTTCCATTGTTGCCAACTACATCAAGGTTAGTTTTGAGTCACTTGTGCACAAGTTGATCCCTTAACTCTTTCCCTACGTATCAACGCTCCCATCGTCGATTTGAAATAAAGATTTTGGCGTATCGAAGGTATAAAAACCTGTTTATTTCGGTTCTTTTCTTAGCTATTGGTGTTTAGTTATTTTAAATCAATTCTAGAATGATTTCCCTTTGTATAAACATCTGGTTTTTCTGTGTTTGAATGATGTTTTGCGTAGAATGAAGTGTTTGAAGCGGTTGTTTTCATTGTCCATTTCATTTTTGTTTACAAACATGAAATCTTGACCTGACCCATCTGGTGATCGATCTAATAAAGTTTGAAAATATTACTCTGATGATGATTCAGACAGTGATTTTATGATTTCAAATGCAGAGGCTGATTGTGTTGAATCTTATGATTATAATCCTAGTACTAGTATTAATAGTACTAGTGACGAAATAATGAAATTGGTAATTCATCAGTTGATGAACAACCAGCCCCACCCCCCAGCTAAAGTGCACATCCATATGGATTGTTTTTTAGGCTTACTATAGCTAAACCCAGATGAAAAGATATGACAAATTTATGGTAAATTTTCCATTTACCATCATAAATGTTAGTACATAGAAGAATACAGTGCAAATATTTTGTAATAGAAACAAATTGTTTCCAGTGGAAATAAATTTTTTGTGTGACGGTGACAATGGATAATGTGCTCTGGTGTTTAATTTTTTTTCTGTTTTTTTAAGTTGATCTTATTATTTGTGATGCACATATGGATATAGTTCAGAAACAAAATTTTTTTTGTTATACTTTGGATTATAAATTTCTCTGACTGACTTGGAATGAATGTTTAGCGAAAATTCTGTATGATTTAAATTTTTTAGTTCTATTTTCCATAAATCAAAATCACATGTATTTAGTAAATGTAAAGCTAAGTCTGCATTGTCTGTATTCCTCTTTAATTCCATACCAAACTTTGCACTTTCTGATGAAAAACAAAAAAGTTATGAAAGTTTAGAGACAACATAGTAGCGCGTAACAAAAACGCAAAATAGATAATTCTGTTAGAACATGGAAAATAATTCAGGAGGGAAAGAGTTAAGAAAATTTCTGAGTGAAATAGTTACCCGTTGCTCCATGCAGGGGTGCCACTTTTCCGGGCCATCCCGGAATTCCGGATTCGTGAGGCTAAATATTTTTCAGTTCCGGATTCGCGAGTTTTTATATTCTCTATTTCCGGATTCGCCAGTTCAATTTATTCAAATACGGATTCTGTCTGTTTTTTGTTTTTTTTAAAGAATCAACGTGCAACAGAATTCGCGAAAAACCAGGAAAATTCCTTGAAAATGGACGTTAATCGCCGATCTCGTCTATTTTTAGCCTTTCTGTTGACAGAGAGCTAGAGGTTTCCCCTTGCGCATGCGCTTTACACTACGCGTTTCGAGTACCGTACTACTTCGATAGACCAGAAATATTTATTTTCTATTCACGTCGCCAATCAAGACATATTTGAAGTGTTTGGGTAAGCAAAGTGTAAAATTTAGTAAATATCTTTTTAATTTAGTTTTTAATTATTGGGTAACCATTATCATAAAAAGAAAACTACTCGTCCGAGCGCTGTCTAACAAGACTAAGCTTAGCGTACTTTGTTATGTAGCTTTACCGTATGCAGGCGACTTGTATTTTTTTTTTTATTAGAAGAGCTACGCGGCGTTTAACTTTTTTTTAAGTTCACTTTACATTTAATTACGGAGTAAGCCTTCTAATTTTAAATAGGCTAATATGATTAAGTTATTTTTATCCGTTCTTTAGAGAGCCTGACATAACCGTATTTAGTTAGTTTTTATTTATTAGTTATGCACTCCCGTGTTCTGACTCTGGGTTTACTACTTTACGGTAATTTGTAATTCTACTATAGTATTCATAATGCTCTGTATTACCGTAGCAGTAGTGCCGTAGTTAAATTTTAAATACTGGTATAATATAGTCGATATTATTATTATGTATGCCTTACTATAAACTATAAATCTAATAATATTTTATTTTGTTTCACTATTCAGGATCTAGGCTCAATAAAAATATGTAATGCCCAACAGTTAACAGTTCCTTTAACTTTAAAGAACTGATGGGCATTACAGTTACAGTACAGCAATTGGCAATCATGATTGAATAAGCATTCAATGAATACTATGCTGGAAATATTGATATCAAGTATTCAAGGGGAAAATGTCTGAGTCAATCATCTTTATCACCCATCTTAGGTGTCCACTTTTGTAACTTCTCAATTTATGAAATTTATGTGTCAAACTATGAAACTCTCACACTTGGGAGATAGTATAGACACTAAAGTGTGTTGATTCAAACTATCCATTTTCATCATAAAGAAGACAACATTAACTCCATATATGAAAAGATACTTTCCACTTGTGGTAGCTATACTTTTGTTCTAAAATGCCCAGATAACTCATTGCAAAAGTTGACTTTTCAAGTCTAAGTAAATTGAAAAATTGCTATTGCTGTAAATTTAATAAATACTAATAAATGTTTACATGTATACACCTTAATTGCTTAATTGTGTTCATTTGTGATGTATCTCAATGTTTTATTTGATAATTTTATGCTTGTTTTTATATTAATCAACAAAATGCCGCATTGCGATAATCAGGAATTTTGAGTTTCATTAAGTTTCAGGGATTGAAAAATTTGTAAATGAAGTTTCAGGTTTCAAGAAATTTTTAGAAAGGGATTTCAGGGTTCACAGGTTTCAGTGAGTGGCACCCCTGGCTCCATGATTCTCAGCTTTGTTTTATTTAATTAGTCCCTACTTCATCTTTTTATTATGAATGGATTCGTGTGCACTTATTGGAGAGGGAGGGGCCTGCATACATTAACTGATATGATTAACATGTTGATTCAATGAGTAAAATATTATGTAAATTTAATTTATACTTATTTAAACGTTTTGTTGTTTTACTGATGTAAGCTTGTGCCCAAACAGTTACTTGTTTATTCTGTAAAATATTATTTAAGCTAAACATATATTGTTTTATTCACAAATTGTTCGTGTCTAATTAATTCAGCGAGTCTTTTAACTTGGTTTACAAAGAGCCCATTAACTATCAGCCAAGCCTTAATACTAAAATGATAAATATCATCCCCAGGAGCGTACAAAGAACGCCCAGTTTATCATCATTTCGCTGAGGAACAACATGTTTGAGCTGGCTGACAGACTCGTTGGCATCTACAAGACGCATGACAGCACCAAGTCGATTACAATCAACCCGTGGAAGATGGTTACCAGTTTTGTTGACAAGATTAGGGAACTTCACAACGTTGAAATGCATGATACTTAACATTATATGCTGTTGTCCCCATCATACAATTGTTAATCAAAGTCGTCTGCAGCTGCTCAGGGCGGGCTGTAATGTAATTACTGCTGATTTGTGTACAGTTTTTTTTCAAAATTTACTTGGTATGTCAGACTGAGAGGAAAGGACTAAGGAAGTGACAGAATTAGGAGCCGACTGAAATATTTTAGTTTTGAATCAATCTTAATTTTCTCGATTTTGGTTTTTTGTGTGCTGTAAAGGTATTTTTCTTCTTTTCAAATAACTTAATGTAATGGTTATTCCATTTACAGGCCCATGTGCCATTCTCAATTGTCTCATGTTCTGTACATCAATATGTCTTTGTTTGTAATTTTTGCATATTGACACAATAAATATAATCTCTAAAGATTCAACTCTTTTATGTTAAGTAGTATAACACAATTGTAAACAATTAGACACAATGATTCTCACATAATCTTGTTTATTTCAAACACCTCCTTTGATAATTTCAATATTCTTTAATCTTGTGTCTGATCCACACAGATAATGTATCAATTACAGACACCATTCACTGATCAGCACTTGGAATTACTTTAAAAGTAACATCTTACATACTGACTGTATTCATTTTACCTATGTGAAATTCAAAATTTCAGTGTATAAAGTAAGTGTAGTAAGAGAAAATACACCGGCCATTCATACACAGCATGTCATAGTATAGTATAATGAGTAACAAGAGAACAGATAAACATGACATGTAGCAATGGTAAATCCAGTTAAAATAAAATGATTTTTTAAAACCTGTGGCGAGATGCCACCCCTGAAAACTACCATTGCTTCATGAAAACAATGGTATGAGAGACTAACATGTACATGGTACCGGGTGGATTGATATCACAGGGTAACAGTATATATCAGAGCTACATCAACTCTTGATATTGATAAGCAAACTCTGGAAAATTTTCAAAGACACTTACAATTGTAAACATGTATATAGTTTATAATCAATAGTCAAGTGCTTTGATGTAAATGTAAGTAATAGAAAAATATTTTTATCTTTACATTTGAACATAACTGGACACATTTCAAGAATAATGCTTTCATATTTTTGTTTTTTAAACATTTTTTTCTGCCCACTCCTCTAGACCTAGCTAGCATTGGTATATGTCAATTGGTCATCAAACCTAGAGTCATTAAAAAAAACCAACCAAGTCCATTTCAAACAACAGCACTATTAAACATTGCTGGCTACAACCAACTGTAGGACTGCTCGGTATAAACAACGATGTTTGTTAAGTATGCAAATTCTTTCACCAACCCCGGTGTCATTCTGATGATTTAATTTTCCACATTGGTCACCTACATATTCTAGAACCTTTCAATGTCTAGCAGGTATACCAGTGCTGAACTTGCACTTTAAACTCAAACTAAGAGAATTATTACAAGTGATTTATGGATATTCCAACCCACACAAACAAAATGAATTGGTGAATGAAAAACCTTTAAGTCAAAAGTTTACTCTAGACAGAAGATTCCACCTGAAACAATTATATTTATAAGGTACATAGTTTTTTTTTAGTTATACAAATTAAAGGTATGTTAAGAGCTTTTCAACAGTAAACACCAACAATCTCTTAACACCCCCACCTAAGGCAATGGCAACAAAATGAATATTAATAAAAATTTTAAATTGTGAACGTTGACCTTCCCATCTTTTACATGACAATGTAGGAACTATTGAAAAGTTTTTTTGTCCTCTTAGCTACAAGTAAGCAGACTAAAAAAAAATTTAAATTTTTAACTTAATCTGTGTACCAGATAAATAAGTAAGGTACTGGTACAAAGTACAGGTGAGACCTTTCACACCCTGGGCCACACTGTCATCCATGTGACTCCAACTGAAGGAAATGACTTTGCTTATGATGACATAGGGTCACAGATGGAATGATGTGTCAATGTGGGCCCAAAGTTTCTTCTGAAAAATGTTTGAATTAAGAAATTAGAAATTTGGTTAAGTTTTCTTACAAATATTTTTTTGTTTTTTTCCTAAAAAATGTGCCACCACTACCATCAGGCAAGGTTTATAAAACATAGAACAAATATCCTGCAAAAAATTAGTGAAAGTAAGGGGCTGTTAAGAACAGAAAATGTATGCACAATCCCAGTAACAAGTACCCGGTACAACACGAGAGTCAAGACATTTTGTCTATGGAATGTCATTTAGTCAGCACATGTTTGGGCCAACTAGAACTCAAGAAAATTAAACTCTTAAAATAGCACATGGCCAACAGGTCATTAAAGATAAAGGTGAGAGTTAAATCAAACAAAATTTAAATAAATTACACACAAACGCACCGATTGTCATTGGTAAGCAGATTAACAAACAGTGGATTCATGTGTTGGTCAGTTTCAATTTAATAATTAAGAAGCAGGGAGTTTAGAATTTTATATAAGTACTGACCTTCGACCCCTGAACAGACTCTTACTTTCAATGTGATATTCAGCTAGGATTGTTTTTGTTTTTTTATGTGGATGAATAAAACTGAAGAATGTCACACAATAAGTTTTTTTCCCTCCCAACATTGAAACTGATGTTGAGAGAACGTTTTACTACTTTGGCTTAATATAAGGCTTAAGATTTTGTGTCACTGAATCTGTAACCTGGCATGTCACACTGGAAAACATTCACAATTTCCTTTTTGAAACTCAATGTACTCCTTTGAAATAATGGTGACCCTCAAGAAATATTTGAAATAAAAATCGAGTCCAGATGAAGTTTTAAGTATATGAACAAAATTTAAATTTCTATCCATGCCATAAACAAGACACTAAATACACTCTGCTTCTGACACTTGTCAGCACTCATTGAGGCGGTGATGTCAATGTTAGAGAGAGACATGGCCAAACACTTTATGGCAGAACTACAAAGAGACTTCTCCCTGCAGTGCATGAAGACAATTTTTGATGCTGCAAGGGAGACAATTCCCCTTATTTGAGACTCCTGCCAACAGATGTTAGCAATGACACTGTTTACCCTGTTAAAGTTAAAGCCAAGAATATTAAATTCATTGAATAATCTGCAAAGTCATAGGCAAATATGTGTTACCAATCTAAAAATAATTCTATGCCACTATCAACTTTCATGAACAATTTTAAATATACACTGCTTGTGTCAGTCTGTTGAACAAACAAATAAAGGTATTCACTCTCAAAAACTTTCAGAATTTCTTTTTAGTGGTATATGGCTTCTAAACATAAAAACAAGTATCTGAAATCTTTATATTTTCAATATAATAAATAATCTCTCCGGACTAGACTTTATCAATGATTAAAAGGATATTAACACCTTTGTAGTAAATAGAATTTCTGGAACAAATATTGATTTGTAATCTTTTTTAAAAGGTTAACACTAACACACACACTAAATAATATTTATTTCTTTAAAAATCAAAATAGTATTTTGTGCTATAAAACATATAATCCAGGAACAGGTAGACATCAGCTCCCAAAAAACTCAACTGAACTGAACAAACTTATTTCTTCAACGATTTTATCATATTTCCTGTCATGAGAAATGACAATTGCAACTTGAAACAACCCCCCAAAAAACCCAACATATATTTACATAGGCCGAGTTAAGGTGGATCACAAGACTCAATGCATGAAACAATGCAATTTTGTGAACAACTTTTTAAAACAATCTGTCAACCGTTCTGTAAAAACAATCAGCCAACAACATATGCTTGTCAATGTTTTAAGATTTATAAGTTTGACAGCTACAAAAAAAATAATCAGCCCTGAAAGCCATTTGTTTAAAACTAAGAGCTCCCCAAGATCATACGTGTATACTGTCTTCATCTTCTCTGTTAGTGTCACCAGGGAGAGACTTGCTACTGGTAGATTTTAATAAAACAACATGTTCGTCTTCGTCACCACCATCAGCCTCGTCCACATCTACGCTGCTACTGTTATCAGAGTGCGTCCTGAGCGTTCCCATAGATTTCTCATCCGTCAATCTCTCATCACCTTTAATTAAAGATTCATTCTCATCAGCATCATCATCATCATTAGATAACCCATTGTCCGGTTCTGGGAGGAGAGCCGTTCTCTCAGTGTCGTTGGACGAGCCCGTAGTTTTAGGTAGCAAAACTGTAGAGCTATCATCTCCTTTCAAGGTCTCGTCTGAAGATGGCTCTTTTTCAGGCTCCTTCATCTCTTCTTCATTAACACCATCGCCAATCATTCTTAAACTTTCTTCAATGTCAGTGACGTCGTATGGAATCTCAGCCACGTCAAAAGCTGCCTCATCACTGCCATTCAGACTTGATGACACATCCTGCAGGGTGCTGTCCAATGCATGCTCAGCCTTTACCGGGAGTTTCAATTGTATTCCATTGGCCACATTGGGTGGGTGGACACTGGGGAAGACAATGTTGGAATGGTCACATAGTGAGTCACACACAATGTTGGAATGGTCACATAGCGAGTCACAATGTTGGAATGGTCACATGGTGAGTCACAATGTTGGAATGGTCACATAGTGAGTCACAATGTTGGAATAGTCACATAGTGATCACAATGTTGGAAAGGTCACATAGTGAGTCACAATGTTGGAATGGTCACATAGTGAGTCACAATGTTGGAATGGTCACATAGTGAGTCACAATGTTGGAATGGTCACATAGTTAGTCTTCATTTTAATACTACTATATTAAAAACTTTGTTTAATGTTTTTGAGGTTAAAGACTTAGGGCAAGGCTCTTGAGGTTAAAGACTTAGGGCAAGGCTCTTGAGGTTAAAGACTTAGGGCAAGGCTCTTGAGGTTAAAGACTTAGGGCAAGGCTCTTGATGTTAAAGACTTAGGGCAAGGCTCTTGAGGTTAAAGACTTAGGGCAAGGCTCTTGAGGTTAAAGACTTAGGGCAAGGCTCTTGAGGTTAAAGACTTATGGCAATGCTCTTGAGGTTAAAGACTTAGGGCAAGGCTCTTGAGGTTAAAGACTTAGGGCAAGGCTCTTGAGGTTAAAGACTTAGGGCAAGGCTCTTGAGGTTAAAGACTTAGGGCAAGGCTCTTGAGGTTAATTACCTGGGACAAGGTTCCTGTGATTAAATACCTAGAACAAGACTCTTGAAGTTGAACACCTGGGACAAAATTCTATGATAAATACCTGGGGCAATGTTCCTGTGATTAAATACCTGGGGCAATGTTCCTGTGATTAAATACCTGGGGCAAGGTTCCTGTGATTAAATCCCTGGGGCAATGTTCCTGTGATTAAATACCTGGGGCAATGTTCCTGTGATTAAATACCTGGGGCAAGGTTCCTGTGATTAAATACCTGGGGCAAGGTTCTTGATGTTTAATACCTGGGGAAACATTACTGTGGTCTGGGAATTTCTTTCTGCTGCACTGCCAGAGATAAAAAATAGTAACAATCTAATCAAACTGATGGCAGCAGGGACTCTGCTGGGGGGTGAGGGGGGGGGGGTCAGCCTCGGCCATCAGGACAAAAGTTACCCAAAAGAATAACAAGCAAAATAAAATCATGAGGTGCTGGGCTACCAAGTACAACAACTCTGAAATGCTTTGTGCTGCAGCTTACCTCCTCTTGGCTGCCTCCTTGGCCACATCCATCAGGTGGTCAAACTCAGCTTTACCCGTCTGTTGTACCATGTCATAGAAGAAGCCTTGACCCTGCATCAGTAGTGTGTAGGGCTGGTCAAACTCCACTATGTGTCCATTGTCCAGTACCTGAAGAGGTCCAAGCAAAATGATTGAGTTGTATTTTTACTCTCTAGTCTCATAGTGTTGCACTAGAACTTTTCTTATTCCCTTTTTTTAAATTAAACAAAAAGTTATTATGCCTGCAGCAGAAAAATAAAGGCTGCGACTATTCGCACCCGGGTACCAGAAGTGAGTGGTTGGGATTAAAAAACCATTAAAAATATTATTATTGGGTTTGTAAGACAAAATGAGGTATCAAATGAAAGATAATTGGATGGACTATATGTTTGTCAACTTACTTCTTCAGTTTAACTAAAATAAACTACCACAAATGACATCCGAATAGCTTAAGTCTAATGGTACCTGGGTGCGAGTGGCGGCGCTGTGTTTCTGGGTCCATTCTAATTCGCTCTTATCGGATAATTTGGTGTAAATAACACTCACCCACGCACACACAACAAAAAAAAAAAAAAAAAAAAAAAAAAAAAAAAACAAACCCCCCCATAAAAATAAATTAAATGAAAGGTAAAAAAAAATAAATAAGAAAAAGGAGACAATTATTATAAGACAATGATAACAGCACAAAGAGCAAACAAAAGCAGAGAAAAAAGACAGAGAAACAGAAATAAAACCTAGAAGGACCAAGTGAATCTGAAAGACTTACCATGACCCTGTCAGAGTCCATGATGGTGTGAAGCCTGTGAGCTATTGTAAGAACTGTGCAGTCTTTGAACTTTGTACGAATGGTCTGTTGGATCAGTTCATCAGTGCTGGAAGACACAGAGTACTCATCATGATAATAATATAATAAACAGAATAAAAGGATAATAATAAACGTAGGGAATGTTTTAACACTGGTAATATAACTAAATCCACATTCAAATTAATTTTAACTTTTAGGTTTAAAGTTTAAGTGAGTATATTTGGTTATTTCACACTGACAAAGCCAAGTACCCACATTGACAAAGCCATGTACCCACATTGACAGAGCCATGTACCCACATTGACAAAGCCATGTATCCACATTGACAAAGCCAAGTACCCACATTGACAAAGCCATGTATCCACATTGACAAAGCCAAGTACCCACATTGACAAAGCCAAGTATCCACATTGACAAAGCCAAGTACCCACATTGACAAAGCCATGTATCCACATTGACAAAGCCAAGTACCCACATTGACAAAGCCATGTATCCACATTGACAAAGCCAAGTACCCACATTGACAAAGCCAAGTATTCATCCTTAAACCGAGGAACAATTAAAATCTCGAATGCTTTAACACATATTTAGATAGCAAAGATAAATGTCAATCTTAAAAAAAATAATTCATCATTGGTACCTGAAGAGGTCCAAGCAAAATGATTGAGCTGTAGTTTTATTTTCAAGTTTCATAGTGTTTCACTTGAACTTTCTTATTCCCTTTTTAAATCCTTTAAAATAACTTCGCCTACGTTTGTGACTGGCAAAATCTGCTAAAAGCTATGTTTCATGTGGATATTTATTTTTAAAATAAATTTAAAATCATTTGTATTCAATGAAAGCACACAACAATTGGTGGGACACAATCTGGACATAAGTTTATATCAACTGTACAACAGAAATAAACTTTCAACTTCTTTATCAGTGTAATATTTACAGAAAGTCAGAGTAAATTTAAATATACGACTTAAAAAATAGATGACCAGCTCCACGGCCTCAGTAGGCACAACTTACATGGGGTCAACGTTTGCAGTGGCTTCATCTATCAGGAGAATCCTGTTATTTCTGAGCACTGCTCTGGCCAAGCAGATGAGCTGACGCTGGCCCACACTAAAGTTGATCCCACCCTCAGAAACCTCAGCTCCGAGACCCTCAGGCAGATCTTTAATTTGATCTTTTAACTTGACCTGTAGAACAAAAATAAATACATAATTTGTGATAAGCAAAAGTAGTTAATGATGCAGAGGACAATACAAAAATAAAAAAAAGCAAACATGTAACAGATTTACATCAGTGATGTTCCAAATTGGTAAAAGCACCATTTGCAGTAGAAGTTTGCACCACTTGTGGTAAAATTGGCTCCCCTTGGGTACAGTCAGATTGAAGTTCTTTCACCTGAGTTGAGGTTGACAAGCTGGGCTAATACTTCAATCATACCAAAAAAATTATCAATCTAACAAAACAACCAATAAACACAATTTCAATCTCTCTATCTAATTAATTATGTAACTAACAAACTATGTATCTATCTATCTACCCAACTAGGTACCTATCTATCTACACAACTATGTACTAGGTACCAATCTAACCAACTATGCATCTAGCTAACCAACTAGGTACCTGTATTTATCTACCCAACCTTGTACCAATCTATCTACCCAACTAACTATGTACCTATCTATCTACCCAATCATGTACCAATCTATCTAACAAACTAGCCATGTATCTATCTATCTACCCAACTATGTACCAATTTATCTACCCAAATAAATATGTACCTATCTATCAAAACAACGAACTATGCATCTATCTAACCAACTATGTACCTGTATTTATCTACCCCGCTAACTATGCATCTGTCTACCCAGCTAATGATGCATTTATTTACCCAACTAACTAACCTCTTCCAATGCCTTCCAAAGTTGTTCATCATTATGTTGGTTGAATGGATCAAGATTCTTTCTGAGTGAGCCAGTGAACAATACAGGATCCTGGGGATGATAGGGTTAAATAACAACACATGTAATCAACAGAACAGGAATGTGGGGATGTTAGAATAGTTACGTCATCAGGTCTTGTGGTTTTTAAGCAGATCTTTTCCGCTGTCGAGAAGCGTGTCACTCAGATTGTTTGTCGTGCTAAGACTTTGTATTTTAGCCAAAAGATAACTATGGGTAGAACCAAAAGGCAGTTGTTTGATGTTTGTAGCCACCTTAGAGGGAGTAACAAAGGAACTTCTCTTCCTTCAGTATTTCCTTTGCCCCAGCAACCAGATATTTTCTGTGATTTCTTTACAGGCAAAGTTGCAAGCATTCGCGCTGAGCTTGATCGTCTTGATGCACTACCCATTGATTTGCCTCCTGTTCCTTGTCTTACTTCACATTTCGATACGTTTAAACCTGTTTCAGAACTTGAGGTCAAAAGTATAATTTTAAAATCTAAACCTACGTCATGTTATTTGGATCCCATCCCCACCACCCTGTTGGTTCAGTCATTAGATCATTTGCTCCCAACGATAACCCACATAATAAATGAAAGCTTGTCTTCTGGCACTGTTCCCCCTCTTTGTAAATCAGCTGTCATCAAACCATTGCTTAAGAAGCCTGGTCTGGATGAAAATAATTTTAAAAAGTATAGACCTGTATCTAACTTATCATTTTTATCTAAAGTTATTGAAAAACTAGTTCTAAAACAACTTTTTGCTTATTTAATTGACCACTCTCTTCTCAGTTCTAATCAGTCGGCCTATAGACATTTCCACAGCACAGAGACGGCTCTCTTGAGAGTGACCAATGACCTCTTGCTCGCATTGGACAGTGGTGATATCTCCATCCTGATCCTCTTAGACCTCAGTGCGGCCTTTGACACTGTTGACCATGTAATCCTTTTCAAAACCCTTGAAAATTACTTTGGAATTTCTGGCTCAGTTTTGGCTTGGTTTAGGTCCTACCTCTCTGATAGAACGCAGGCGGTCTCTGTCGATATTATTTAATTGACCACTCTCTTCTCAGTTCTAATCAGTCGGCCTATAGACATTTCCACAGCACAGAGACGGCTCTCTTGAGAGTGACCAATGACCTCTTGCTCGCATTGGACAGTGGTGATATCTCCATCCTGATCCTCTTAGACCTCAGTGCGGCCTTTGACACTGTTGACCATGTAATCCTTTTCAAAACCCTTGAAAATTACTTTGGAATTTCTGGCTCAGTTTTGGCTTGGTTTAGGTCCTACCTCTCTGATAGAACGCAGGCGGTCTCTGTCGATGGCTGTCTCTCAGGCAGTGCTGATTTGGTGTACGGAGTACCCCAGGGGTCCGTTTTAGGCCCGATTCTATTCACATTGTATACCAGACCACTGCTCCTCTTGCTTGGGAGGCATGCTGTTGAGAGCCAGTCATTTGCAGATGACACGCAGCTATACAAGCATACCCATCCTTCTCTTGTTGAATCCGCTGTCCAGACTTTGTGGGGGTGCATTGATGATGTCAAGTCATGGATGACACTCAGCAAGTTGAAGCTTAATGATGACAAAACAGAAGCACTCCTCATTTACAATCACAAATCATCCTCTACCTCAACCCTTCCCACCTCATTTCAAGGAGGTACAGTTTACACCCTCTGCTAGGAATCTTGGTTATATTCTTTCTAACAACATGTCTCTCGATAAACACATATCTCACATTTGTCGTTCGGCATACACCACTATCCGTCAGATCAGCTACATCCGCCACTACCTCACAGTTAGCGCAACAAAAACTCTAGTCTGTGCTCTTGTTCTCTCTCGTCTTGACTATTGCAACTCGCTTCTGTCAGGTTCACCAAAACACTGCATAGAAAAACTGCAGAAAGTTCAAAACTCAGCTGCTAGGCTAGTTTTAAAGGCAAAAAAACGTGATCACATCACTCCACTACTCCACTCACTACATTGGCTACCTATACAGGCACGCATCGACTACAAGTTGTCTGTTCTCTGTCACAACTTTTTTTTGGATTCCTGCCCTTCCTATCTAACCGAACTTCTTTCTGTCTATTCACCCCTTCGACAGCTTCGCTCCTCTGCAGACACGCGTATTCTGTCTGTTCCCAAGACACACACTAAAACATATGGTGAACGATCTTTCTCTTTCTGCACCCCCAAACAATGGAATTCTTTGCCACTACAAATACGCAATATACCAACTACCCAGGCCTTCAAAACTGCACTCAAAACACATCTTTTTAAATTATACTACCCCGAGTGATTCCCCTCCACTGACCGATAAACGATCTTGCTGGCTGCCGTCCATGGTTTGCCTTGTAAAAGTTATGTGGTGGGGTGGGTGAATATACATTGCTGTTCTTTATTTCATAAATGTATTTTATTATAATGTCATGATTATGTCTCTGTTGATAAAATTTGTATGTGCACCGCGGTGAGCCCAGCCCTAGACTGGGGTACCGCGCTATATAAGACCCCTTATTATTATTATGATAGGTTTAAATAACAACACATTTAATCAACAGTACAGGATCCTGGGAATGATAGGGTTAAATGACTTATTGCACACACATGAAGACATTTCTATAATTTGATAATAAAATATCCACAATTGTAATACAGAGATTGTTGAATGAACATTTTTTCTACCTGAGGAATGATTGCAATAGTGGATCTCAAATCATGAAGACCAATGTCTAGTATGTTGATGCCATCAATATCCAATGCACCCTCTGGCTCCACCATCCTGAACAATGTTGTTATGAGGGAACTCTTTCCAGCCCCTGTCCTACCCACAATACCAATCTGATAGAATAGTTACGTCATTAGTTTCATAAAAAAGATATGCCGTCCATTAGTATCACAAAATAGACATTTCAAAAGAATCATAAAGTTGACCTTTAAATTTTTAATAAAGTTGCAAGATTTTAAAAACAAAGTTATTATGGAATAGAGATGATATGTTTAAAAATAAAAAAACTATGTTTTTCAAATTTTTAAATACAGATACTATTTTAACAATCATTTAATATCTCATGATTGCTTTGAACGCTACATCCTACTTCCAAATAGAGCCAGAGATTTACAGTTTGAAAAATTCTTCTCCAGAGAAATCAGGTATGAGAAATCTATTCCATCTACACTACCTTCTCTCTTCCGTTGATGGTGAAGGTCAGGTCCTTGAGAACATACGGTCCACTGGATGAGTACTGGAGGCTCACGCCTGTGCCTGTGATTCTACCGTTGGGGGGCCAGGTGGGCGGTGGTTTCTTGTCAGGTTCTGATTCCAGGTTAGACTCCTGTGGTAGCCTGGAGTACTCCAGAACTCTCTCCACTGAAATCATCTGGGAATAAAAACAAGTTTGCTTGAAGACAAGTTTAATGGACTGACACGAAGAACATGTCAATATGTGGGGGCAATCACTTGTATATGTGGGTGTTATCACTGCATAAGTGAACATTATCACTTATATATTTATGAGAATTTTATCACTCTTATATGTATGTGTTATCACTCATATGTGAGTGTCATCACACTTATATGTGGGTGTTATCATTCTTATATGTGAATTTTATCACTTATATGAATTTTATCACTCTTATGTAAGGGTATTATCACTCTCAAGTATTCAAATATCAGTAGGACCACAAACTATCAAATAAGACCAGAAGTCAACCTTCTTAGGACCACAAAAATGATTGGGACCAGTAGTTTGTAGAGATCACCAAACCTATTAGTCTATAGGGATCACCAAACCTATTTGTAAGGGACAGTAGTCTTCTGTAGGGATCACCAAACCTATTTGTCAGTGCTATCTTGCTCTCTAAAAGCGGATACATAATTACTTTTTTGCTGATTTTTTTATAACAAATGTAAAAATTGACCATGTAATATCTCTATGAGTCTCATTGGGTAATTTGCATTTCTGAAAACTTTGCCTGTAAACAAATTTTTATATTTTTAAATATTCAAAAGAACACTTCTGGAAAAAATTAAATACAACTCTTAAAAAGCTCACCTGGTTCTCCACCTCTGCACTCTGTCTAACACCCCACTGGAACATGCCCATGAGAGTCATTGTGTAGGTTATAGACAAACCAACTAGACCAGCATTCATTGCTGTGAGGGGAGACAAAAATAGCACACATGTAAATCTGCTTCTTTAAGATGTGGGAGTGACTTCTCATTTTGGGAAAGGGGGGGGGGGGTTTAAACCCAATGTGCCTCATAACAGGGCGGTAGTGGGTTTGTTAACACTAAAAATAGATTGTGACTTGAATGTTGGACAATAAAACGGTATAAAACCTTCATAGAATTAATTAAATTAATTAACTAAGATAATTTCAAGAAAGTAATTTAGCAAAAAATGTGCACACAAATGGAAATTTTCTTACTTTCTGCTGCCAGGACTGAACAAACCGTGACAGCTGTCACAAACATTGCACACAACCAATCAAGGCGGACAGCAAGCCAACGGCTCGTGGCCAAAAACAGGAACCAGGCCTCGGAATGTTTGTCCTGGTAGGCATCAAATTCCTCCATGAACTTCTCCTCCATGCTCATAGAACGAATCGTGTGCAGCCCTTGCAGTGTGGCACTGAGGTATGAGAACACAGGACTGCGGGCTGAAATAGAAATGTTCATCTATGCTAGCATCATAAGCTAACCGCAGGTCACTTTGGAAACTGGTGAAGACATTGGTGAATCCAGGGTGGTGTGGAGAGTGTGATGCCACATCTTTACCTAACATCAGAGTTTACTTTAAATGCTATGCTTCATTACACACACAGCCTTTGGATAAGTCTTACATACATCAATTGCATGACCCCTAATAGAAACATCAACAAATATCCTCAACGCTCATTTGCCAGAGAACCGTGTCCCAAAATTGTTAGCTAAAAAAAAAGTCCCTAAAAAATTAGAATGACCTCAGCACTGTGCCAACTGGAACAAGGAGCTCTTGCTTTCAGTGTCTGTTGCCACAGAAATAAATTATTTTTCTCCAATATTTCTCAAATAAATGTCTTTTTTGTGTTGTTAGTCCACAGATGAAGCCTTCTATTTGAATTTTTTTTATAGTTCTGGTTTGTCTTTATTTAAGTGTAGCAACATGATGTGCCTCGTGAACTTGTTTCACACATATTTCTCAAGCTACTATAATTTTATAGTCACTGTGCTGTCAGGCTTATCCTATTTTATAGTCACTGTGCTGTCAGGCTTATCCTATTTTATGGTCAATGTGCTGTCAGGCTTATCCTATTTTATAGTCACTGTTCTGTCAGGCTTATCTTAATTTACAGTCACTATGCTGTCAGACTTATCCTATTTTACAGCCACAGTGCTGTCAGACTTATCTTAATTTACAGCCACAGTGCTGTCAGACTTATCTTAATTTACAGTCACATTGCTGTCAGGCTTATCCTATTTCATAGTCACTGTGATGTCAGGCTTATCCTATTTTACAGTCACTGTGCTGTCAGGCTTATCCTATTTTACAGTCACTGTGCTGTCAGGCTTATCCTATTTCATAGTCACAGTGTTGTCAGGCTTATCTTATTTTATAGTCACTGTGCTGTCAGGCTTATCCTATTTCATAGTCACAGTGTTGTCAGGCTTATCCTATTTTACAGTCACGGTGCCTTCAGGCTTATCCTATTTTACAGTCACTGTGCTTTTAGGCTTATCCTATTTTACAGTCACTGTGCTGTCAGGCTTATCCTATTTCATATTCACAGTGCTGTCAGGCTTATCATATTTCATAGTGACTGTACAGTTAAGCTGATCATATTTTATAGTCTTTGTACTATTAAGCTTATCCTATTTTACAGTCACTGTGCTGTCAGGCTTATCCTATTTCATACTCACTGTGCTGTCAGTCTTATCATATTTTATAGTCACCTTGCTGTCAGTCTTATCATATTTTATAGTTAGTCACTGTACTGTTAAGCTTATCATATTTCATAGTGACTGTACAGTTAAGCTGATCATATTTTATAGTCTTTGTACTGTTAAGCTTATCATATTTCATAGTCATTGTACTGTTAAGCTTATCATATTTCATAGTCATTGTACTGTTAAGCTTAGTATATTTCATAGTCATTGTTCAGTTAAGCTTATAAATGTATTTTATTTTAATGTCATAATTATGTCTCTTTTGGGGTACCGCGCTATGTAAGACGTCTTATTATTATTATTATCATATTTCATAGTCACTGTACTGTTAAGCTTATCATATTTCATAGTCACTGTACAGTTAAGCTTATCATAATTGATAGTCACTGTACTGTTAAGCTTATCCTACTTACTTGTTCCTTCCAGACGTTTGATGCTCCTGGATGTTTGCAGGTAGTACTTCCTGACTATGACAAAAAGAATGGCCAGTGGTACCGTGGGGATGAACACATACGGGTTGACAACACCGGCCACCAGCACAATCCCGATAATTAACAGAGCACACTGACGAGAGAGAGGAATACATTGAATGGTAACAGAGCACACTGAGGAAAGAGAGTAATACGTTGAATGGTAACAGAGCACACTGAGGAAAGAGAGGAATACGTTGAATGGTAACAGAGCACACTGAGGAAAGAGAGGAATACGTTGAATGGTAACAGAGCACACTGAGGAAAGAGAGGAATACGTTGAATGGTAACAGAGCACACAGAGGAAAGAGAGGAATACGTTGATGTAAACATTACAGCAGAAGAAACTGGTGCTGGGCTTTGACACCAAAATGTTTTATTTGCACAGATCCTGACATAGCTGACTGACAAACTTCATGCATTAAACCTTTAGTAGAGAGCCTGTTTATGTGAGATCATCCATGTGACCTTCCATTAAAACATATATCACCTGGATGAGGTCAACGAATGTGCCAGGTAAGAGATCATCCATGTGACCTTCTATTAAAACATATGATATTACCTGGATGAGGTCAACAAATGTGCCAGTTAAGAGATCATCCATTAAAACATATAATATTACCTGGATGAAGTCAAAGAACGTAACAGGTAAGAGATCATCCATGTGCCCTATGTCTTTTGAGAATCTGTTTAAGATACGTCCTAGAAGAAGGAAGAAGAAAATGAAATTGTAATCCGTTAAGAAAATAGCTCTATTATACACAGCACTAGCATTAAGACTCAATATATTCCAGTTACTTTTTAGAAACCTCAGGAAGGAAATAGGCAAAATCAAAAGAAATGAAATTGATGACCCTTGAACTATGACCCCCCCCCCCCCCCCCCCCAACCCACCATTTTTCAATTTCAAAATTTGCTGATATTTTTTAAATATGTAAAATAATTTTTCACCAACAGGATAACAAAGTTTAATTAAACTCTTCAATGTTGGTGTTCACTAAACAAACCAAATAGCGTGTCACCAACAGGATAACAAAGTTTAATTAAACTCTTCAATGTTGGTGTTCACTAAACAAACCAAATAGCATGTCACCAACAAGGTAATGAGGCATTTTTTCCAACTGTTCAATGCTGGACTTATAAAACAAATGCCTTCTCACCAACAGGGTTGTTGTCAAAGAACTGGATTGGCGACCTCAGAATCCTTTGGAACATCATATTGTGCAGTGTCTGCGAGGCGTCCACAGCAATCTTGAAAAACAGCAGAGCTCTTGCAAGGCCAAACAGGAACACCGCCAGAATGATGCCGGTGAAGACATAAATGTTGAAGTAGCTGTCAACGTAGGGAATGGTGATGTTGCTGGAGATGCTGCTGTTGGTGATATCTGTGATGTTGTGCTCGATCAAGAAGAGTCTATGTTTTTCCAAGGCAGCATACTTTTCTTCTTCTTTGGGTGGGACTGGGTTGGGGGGGGGGGGGAAGAGGAACATGGTTAAGACATTTCTTTTATTGAGCCGTTCAGCAGTTGAATAATATGGACTCCTAGCACACAAGCAGGCCACCTGATTAGAAAAATCAATGTCCCTCTAGCAATTTTTGTTATCTTAACCCTCAACAATTTTTATGAAATGTATCACTTAGACACCCACCACCTATCTTTGATAACAAACTTACCATCGAGACAGCCACCAATCACTGCCCACATAGAACACTTGGGCGGCAATGTTGATAAGAACAAGGATGATAAACTTGAACAGCCCGGTACCAGCCTTGAAGTAGTCCACGTAGACCTTGAGCCCCACAGTGCCACTGGCCATCTCTTCAACCTCAGGCAACTGGACAGGCTCAGGCTGATATCATGTATGATAGGGACAGGACAAAACTTAAATGTTTTAATTCATGTAGGGAGAAAGTTGCAACGTTTCACATTTTCATCAGGTAAATCCCTTATTTTTAATGTTCCTGATTCGTAGGGACTACCAGATTGATTATTTTAACAAGGGATTTTTAAAGTATCAATAAATCGTTTTTATATTACTTTATTAAGTTATTAAGTTAAGTACTTGTCCTTTTAGTTTCCAGGTCAATGTTGTGTCCAACTGTCTGTGTTCTTTGATTAATTCACTCTCGATTCAAGCTGGAAATTACTTTTATATCATCTTTCACAGCATGAACTAACCTGGTAGCCTTCATGAATACCAAAACATAAACTAACCTGGTAGCCATCATGAAATAACCAGGTAGCCTTCATGAGCTAACCTGGTAGCCTTCATGAACTAACCTGGCAGCCTTCATGAGCTAACCTGGTAGCCTTCATGAACTAACCTGGCAGCCTTCATGAGCTAACCTGGTAGCCTTCATGAACTAACCTGGCAGCCTTCATGAGCTAATCTGGTAGCCTTCATGAACTAACCTCTAGCCTTCATGAACTAACCTTGTAGTCCTCACGAATACCAAAACATGAACTAACCTGGTAGCCTTCAGCAATACTGTGTAATGACATGCGAGAGCCGAGCTCTGAGATTTCTGGGGCAAGTGAAATTGGTTCTGGCACCACCGCAATGGTGGGTGATGACGGTTCCTCTTCCTCTGGGCGTTTCAGCAGCTCAGAGAAGTCGACGCCAGATCTGGACAGCTCATCGTAGGAGCCTTGAATGTTGATCTTTCCCTGCCGAGTTATTTCAAAGCTTTACACCAACACATTTACCCATTGTTTCATATCCAAATAAATGTCATCCTTAGGTGTTAAGTTTTCCAATCAGGTCAGTTATGATAAAAAAAAAAATAATAATTTGATTCTATTATTTTGAAGATAGTTCTTATCAACATAAAAATTGGTGTAATGTGATTGAATTCAACTTTGAAAGCGTGATGCAAGCAAATAAAATTAGGTCAGCTAAGACCAGTAGTACTGATTTTTTTTTTCCAGGAGGTGCAGCTGATGCAACTCACCTCTTTGAGAATGTAGATTGTGTCTGCTACAGGCAAGAATTGCACTTGATGTGTGACCAGAATTCTGGGCTTGTTTTTCAAATATCTAACAATACACCTGCAAAAAAACAAAAAAAAACAACTAAAAATAAGGCAGCCTCTACATCAGCCATTTGCAAAACTAAGGTCTGTGGGCCAGATCCTGCCTGCCATATGTTTGCAACTGGACAGCAAAAGGCAAGCTTTAATTCAAATTTAATCCAATATGGCACATAAAACACTTAAAGTTGGATTCATGGCTGTCTGCTCAAACAGGTCTCGGCACGTCATAACAAAATGTTTTGAAAATGCCTAATCACCACTTTAACTGGTTAACTACCATGAGCCGTTGGGACTGGCTTGGCGTTTCTTCCGTTATGGCCATGAGCCGCTGGTAGCGCCAATGTTTGTATCATATTAAATGTGACCTAGATTTAATTCGGCAACAGCTGGTTTTTCAACCTTGTAGTTAATCAGTTGAACAGTAAATTTACCAGTATTAAAAAAATAACATTACGAATAGTCAAATAAGTTATGGAGAGGAAGGAAAAAAAAATGGTTTACTTTTCAAATATGTGTCTCCCTACAGCAGTGTCCACAGCACTGAGTGGGTCATCCAGAAGATAGATGTCAGCATCCATGTACAGGGCGCGGGCCAGTGATACACGAGCCCTCTGCCCCCCACTCAAGCTGACACCCCTGTCTCCGATCAGAGTTGCATCCCCTTGTGGCATAATCTCAAAATCCTGAGAATTGTAGCAAAACAAGGTTGAATATTTTAGTTTTGATAGTCTGGTCGTTGAGATTTTTTTTAAAAAAACAACTGTGCAGCTCACTGAATTAATTTTACTTAGCTATGAAATACATAGGTGCCAGAAAGATCTCTACATTGATCATGGGCCCTCAAAATACACAAGAGGAAATTGTATTACAGCTCCCCTTCCATATCCGTCATTGTGAAACCTCGTCCAATTTTAAAAAGTCCCTTAAAACCCATCTGTTTAGGTCCGCCTATGACCTGTGATGCACCCTCCTTGCCCTGCCTCATTTTCTGTCTCGGGTTGATCCTGTAGTATAGGCCAAAACGTGCCAAAGTGTCCTCGTTTTATAGCCATTTTAATTGTTTCTATAGTATAGTAGTTACTATCCTAGTGCCTCATTTTTATTTTACTTAGTTTACATGTTTTTAATAATTGTAAAGCGCTTAGAGCTTTAAGGTAAGCGCTATATAAAAAATGCCTAAATAAATAAATAAATCGATCACAAAGCTGAATATATTTCAATGGTATTTTGTTAAATGTGGAAAAATTTTAAATAAATAAAATGAATCATGCATTTAATTTACTTACTAAAACACCAACAAGCCAGACTTACCCTTTTGAGAGCACTAACTTTGATGACCTTATCGTACTTAATTTTGTCATAGACACCGCCAAAAACAATGTTCTGACGGACACTGCCAGAAAATATCCAAGGCTGCTGGGATACGTAGGCGACTCTCCCTGAAACCTTGACCGCTCCTTTATGTGTCGGCAACTCCCCGAGGATGGCCATTAGAAGAGATGACTGGGAATAGATAAAAAGTTATGTTCAATAAAAACAACAATCTTCGGGAAGAAGTATATGCCTCATACTATACAAGTTTCAAATTTTTGTGAAAACATCTTCCTCATTGTCTCAGCCTACTCACTAAGATGTCTGTCTCAGCCTACTCACTAAGATGTCTGTCTCAGCCTACTCACTAAGATGTCTGTCTCAGCCTAACCACTAAGATGCCTGTCTCAGCCTACTCACTAAGATGTCTGTCTCAGCCTGATCACAAAGATATCTCAGCCTACTCAATAAGAAGTCAGTCACCACAATGTCACAACCTACTAAGATGTCTCAGCCTACTCACTAAGATGTCTGTCTCAGTCTACTCACTAAGATGTCTGTCTCAGTCTACTCACTAAGATGTCTGTCTGAGCCTACTCACAAGATGTCTGTCTCAGCCTACTCACTAAGATGTCTGTCTTAGCCTACTCACTAAGATGTCTGTCTCAGCCTACTCACTAAGATGTCTGTCTCAGCCTACTCACTAAGATGTCTGTCTCAGCCTACTCACTAAGCTGTCAGTCTCAGCCTTATCACTAAGATATCCCAGCCTACTCAATAAGAAGTCAGTCACTACAATGTCACAGCCTACTAAGATGTCTCAGCCTACTCACTAAAATGTCTGTCTCAGCCTACTCACTAAGATGTCTGTCTCAGCCTACTCACTAAGATGTCTGTCTCAGCCTACTCACTAAGATATCGGTCTCAGCCTACTCACTAAGATATCGGTCTCAGCCTACTCACTAACAAGTCGGTCTCAGCCTACTCACTAACATGTCGGTCTCAGCCTAACCACTAAGATGTCTGTCTCAGCCTACTCACTAAGATGTCTGTCTCAGCCTTCTCACTAAGATATCTCAGGATACTCAATAAGAAGTCAGTCACTACAATGTCACAGCCTAAGATGTCTCAGCCTACTCACTAAAATGTCTGTCTCAGCCTACTCACTAAAATGTCTGTTTCAGCCTACTCACTAAGATGTCAGTCTCAGCCTACTCACTAAAATGTCTGTCTCAGCCTACTCACTAAAATGTCTGTCTCAGCCTACTCACTAAGATGTCAGTCTCAGCCTACTCACTAAAATGTCTGTCTCAGCCTACTCACTAAGATGTCAGTCTCAGCCTACTCACTAAAATGTCTGTCTCAGCCTACTCACTAAAATGTCTGTCTCAGCCTACTCACTAAGATGTCAGTCTCAGCCTACTCACTAAAATGTCTGTCTCAGCCACTCACTAAATGTCTGACTCAGCCTACTCACTAAAATGTCTGTCTCAGCCTACTCACTAAGATGTCAGTCTCAGCCTACTCACTAAAATGTCTGTCTCAGCCTACTCGCTAAAATGTCTGTCTCAGCCTACTCACTAAAATGTCTGTCTCAGCCTACTCACTAGGATGTCAGTCTCAGCCTACTCACTAAAATGTCTGTCTCAGCCTACTCACTAAGATGTCAGTCTCAGCCTACTCACTAAAATGTCTGTCTCAGCCTACTCACTAAAATGTCTGTCTCAGCCTACTCACGATGTCAGTCTCAGCCTACTCACTAAAATGTCTGTCTCAGCCTACTCACTAAGATGTCAGTCTCAGCCTACTCACTAAAATGTCTGTCTCAGCCTACTCACTAAAATGTCTGTCTCAGCCTACTCACTAAAATGTCTGTCTCAGCCTACTCGCTAAAATGTCTGTCTCAGCCTACTCACTCAAATGTCTGTCTCAGCCTACTCACTAAAATGTCTGTCTCAGCCTACTCACTAAGATGTCTGTCTCAGCCTACTCACTAAAATGTCTGTCTCAGCCTACTCACTAAAATGTCTGTCTCAGCCTACTCACTAAGATGTCAGTCTCAGCCTACTCACTAAAATGTTACTGCATGTTATTGAATAAACCATACAGCAGGTTCCAATCCTAAATCCTAATCCAACAATAAACTTTCCTAAACAGAGCCTCACCTTAACAACAAAACCAACCATTTGGCATATTGTATACAGTATAGGTTGTTTAATAATCCAGGAAAGTGTGTCACATAACTGAATGCTCCACCGGGGTCACTAATCATTCATGACCCTGACCACCAAACTTACTTTTCCTGCCCCGACAGGCCCTATGACGGCCACCAACTTGCCTGGGTCGACTCTGAGACTAATCTCCTCCAATGTGTTGGACTCTGAGTAACTCTGTGAATACAAACACTTGCAATCATGTTTCTTCCTTCATGCAT